GAGGTCTCTCTCAATTGGTCAACACCCACCTAAATCCATTAATAGAGCAGCCATTGTCATTTTGCCAAGCTAAAAAATAAATAGTACTTGGTACCCATAAAATCACATGTAGTATTGGATGAGTTTATGTAAAGCTAAACTTAATCACTTTCACATTTGAGGCCAGGTCAAAATTTAATCCATATTCCCCTTACCAGCACATCACATAATTCAGCTATAAATAAAACTTACCTTGAGTAATAACAAGTCTTAATCAATAAAAATAATATAACATTTTTGAACTATAAAAAGTTTATTACGGAGTAAGTAACATAGTTTAAGTTCAACAAAGATAACTTAAATTAATAAAAAAAATTAATCAAAGTTTTTACAAAATAATTTTAAAAAGTTTATGTTTAACAAGAAATTATAAAAATTTGGTAAAAAAATTTTATTTCTACAAAAATAATTTAAATGCATTATATATTAGGTGAAAAGAACAATACGTATACTGATCTTTTACTTATCTTTCTTGATTATATATATAAAAGTTATTTTCTAATATAATTATCAAATTTATAACTTTCACACTTTTTTCAAATCTAATATATCATATCATATAACTAATATATAAAGCTAAACTTTTAGCCAGGTCACAAAATAGCGACAGTTGACATATATATTATAAATTATCAAATTTATAGTATTCCAACTTTTTGTCAAGTGTCGCGCCACCTTTGATAGATTTAAATAGACGAAGATAAAAAAAATTTAAAAAAAAAGTGTTAAAAATTCCATTTTCAATCAAATTAGGATAGAATTTTAGAATAAGATGGTTAGTTTAGAGTTTTATTTTCGATAAAATACCAAATACGTAGTAATAAACTTATAATTAGGCCACAAGACAACATCATATAGCATTTTAACTTTTCGCTTAGTGTCATACCACATTAGATAAATATAGATATACTTTGTAGCAAAAAAAAGTTAATTTAGAATTCTATTTTCAATCAAATTGAATTATAATACAATTTTATCATAAAAGTCTATAAACAACCTGGGCATCGCACGGGGCACAAAACGGGAGTTTTTTAGAGAGCCGCGTAGGATTTAATTTATAAAGCTAAACTTTTAGTCAGGTCACAAGATTGCGACACTTGAAATTCGAACTTTTCGCGAAGTGTCGCGCCACGTTGGATAGATTTAAATAAATGATAAAAAAAAAAAAGTTAGTTTAGAATTCTATTTGAATAGAAAATTAGGATAAAATTGTTATTTTAGAATTTTATTATCGATAAAATATCAATATTTCAGATTACAAATTGAATTATAAGTTTATTAATAAAAAATTATTAGATTATAATTCTCAAAAATTATCATATAAAATTATTATTTATATCATAATATTGTTTGGAGCGAAAGTAGTTCAAAGCGTAAAAATCCATTTATAATATATATTAATCGGTGAAAATTATATTTCACAATCTAATAAAGTGGAGACCTGTCAATTAGGGTTGGGTCATGAATCATCTCAGGTTGAGTCACTTCAGATTACGAGTCAAGAAATGTTCAACCTTTGCCCTAAGCTCTGGGTTCGGGTCAATCCAGGGTGCTTTGAACATTTATTTTATTTAGTTTTTTTTTTTTTTTTTGCTATTTTTTTTTTTATTATTTTAATGTATTAAATCGAATATTTTCACCAACATTATTATTAATCATTGCATGCCTGTTAGATAACAAATCAGAAAAACACATCAATTCCTAACTAATTTTGTGTATCAATGATGTATTTTAAAATTTGACATATATATTATAAATTAATTTTAAAATTCAATAAATAACTCGGGCATCGCACGGGACAGAAAACTAGTATATATATGTATAAGAAGGACCCTACTGAGCTGGCACCTTTCACAGGTTTAGTCAGTCCAGCTTTGCATGTCATCGCTTGAGAGTAGAGGAAGGACCTTTTGTAGTTGGTGGGGCTCGAACTCGTGACCTCAAAATCACAAGGTGAGTTCCCCACCAACTCCAACAAGCAAAAGCTTTGCTTGAGGTTTTTTATTTATTTATTTATTTTTTACCTATATGCCACTACTGATATGATGTTAATTGCATCTAGGTTTTTCCTTGTGTGATTTAATGATGTAACTCTTACAAGTAAAGTAATGTTAGGACAATTATACTCTCTAAATTGTTTATTTACTAATTTATCCTCATTAATATTAATTGCTATTTTTTAGAACTAATAAGTTAATAACATTTATGCATGTAAGGTGTGTAAGTACTATATTTATTTACATATTGTCCATCATTAATGTTGCCAACAATTAAAAGAGATTTAATTTCTAAATATGGCTAATTATGACACGCGCGTTACTAACGTTATCCACCTTAATATTATCAAACAATTTATAGCACATTAATTTTTCTAAACGATATGGTTGAGTTAATGTACATGAACCAAAATCAATGCACCAACTTATATGTGTAGGTGAGATTTAGGTTTTTGTACAATGGTTGAGTTAATGTGAATTAAAATCAAATCACCAATTATATTGTGCAAGTGAAGTCTACCTTTAGGTTTATGTTCAGAGGAGCTTAGACATATTGAGTTGGGTAAATTTCGCTATATTTATAATCACAAAGTTTTAAGGCAAAATTACATTCATTTACACCAACTTAAGAGTATATTGCAAATATTGACACAAACTAGTGTCACTTGTAAAATTGATATCAACTTGCTCAAAAAAAGAATAAAATTGACATTAAGGGTTTGTTCTCATTGACTGAACTCAGCTGAATTGAACTGAACTGAACTGAATTGAGCTGAACTGAACTGAACTGAGCTGAACTGAACTAAAATGAACCGAAATGAATATTTTATAAGAGAAGAAAATTAGGAGCTGAGTTGAACTGAACTGAACTGAATTTCAACGTAAGAGAACAGGCCCTAAGGCTTTGTTTGGTTCAATGTTAGTAAAGGAAGAAGAGAAAGGAACGAAGGGAGGGAAAGAAAGGAAGAGAAATTCCAATGTTTGGTTAATGAAAGGAAGAGAAAGGAAACATGCTTTTATTTTCTCTTTCCAATCGAATTCTTCCAATTTTGAGAGAAAAGGAAGAGAAGAGGAATGGAGGGATGCATCCTTCCTTGTTTGGATATCTAATGTAAGGGGAGAAGGGGAAGAAGATGGAGGGATCCATTTTCCTTCCAATTTAAATAAACCAAATCCCTCCATTGTTAGAGAGATTTGGAAGGAAAATAAAAGGTCTCCTTCTCTCCCCCCCCCCCCCTCACCTCATTTTTCCTTCCCCTCCCTTTCCATTCACTGTTGTTATCCAAACATAGTGCAAATTCTCATGTCATTCATCAAACCAAACATGAAAACATATTAAAACATTTTCCTTTCTTTTCTTTTCCAACCAAATCCTTTCGACCAATAAGGGCCTAAAGGCACTAAACATTCAATAGTACTCTATATATGACATCTATATAGTCTTATCTTTCCAACGCAGTAAGAACTTTTTGAAATATGATTGTATAAAAGAAATTATATACTTGTACAAGTGTTAAAAGTTATGTAAAATTAATTGTTAAGTTTCATTTATGTCAATTTTGTATTTTTTGTAGCAAGCTGGTGTCAATTTAGCAAGTGATATAAATTGGTGTCAGTAATTGTCAAACTTCACAAAGTTGATGTCAATAATTGTAATTTTGCCAAGTTTTTATATGAGGTTGGCCGTGTAACCAGCTATTGTAGGGGTTATTTCGTTAGTTATAAAGGGGTTAAATTACTTCGTTAGTGTAATATAAATAGGTTACTTGATCAGTTTTATATGAGTTACTTGGTCGACAATTACAGAGATTAATTGCTTAGTGTTGTAGGGGTTCAATTGTTTTTATAAGTGGCCAAACGGTGTGGCCAACCACAGACAAGAAGGGTTGTACTTGTTAATCTTTATAAATCCCTTCAATCCATAATACACTATTAAGATTGAGTACGGATCAGATGTCCAATTTGACAAGGATTTCGGATTGAATATCTTATATCCAAATTCAATCCGATATTTGATATTCGATTAGAATATTTGAATATCTGATATCCAAAATAATATATTATTAAATTAAAATATAAATCATACCCAAAATTCTAGATTTTTGGACTGGATATCCGTTATTCAACATCAGAGGCTCAAAAGAACAAGGTCTTATTTGTTATCCTTATCTATTCACCTATTAAAAGTATGCGCCTTGAATTTGAGTTACAAGGAAAATTTAAAAAATGAAAAAGTACAGAATATCAAGTGTAGGAGGGCATGTCGTCTATAGGAAGTGGACTAGTAGTTGACTGTGGTAGAACGGAGATCTATGTGCTTTTGGACTATGGTAAGTGTAGGAGGGTAGTTATCTAATTAATCAAGAAAAGTACTTCCCAATATCGGTTAACAATGAGGTTAGACGTCATTGCTTTCAAAAAATTCTATCTGAATGAGTCTTCTCAAACACAAAGTTTGGAGGTTCATAGCGCTCTAGTGAATCGAAGTTGGATCTCATCCCATTTGAACAGGATAGACCAACTATACCCTTTTGAACGAGTACAAGTCACAAGGAGTGGTTATAAGCCAAGAATCCCACTTGACTATTCTTACCTTGGGTCATAGCTCATAGGGATTGCTTATTTGTGAGCATCAAGTCTTTGCAAAGCACCAGTTTGTTTTTGACAGATTTTTAGGCTATTGTTTGTGAATTCCATCCAAAGGGCTCCAACAAGCTCATATTATCAACTTCTGTTGTTTTGTTTTCATGTGGTTTGCTCGAGCTAGTACTAGGATTTTAGCGTTTGTGTGTTGTATTTTACATTCTTTTATTTAGTGTAGGTTGTAATCGTGTTTTTCGTTTAATGAACTCTTTGCCCCCCCCCCCCCCCAAAAAAAAAAAAAAAAAAAAAAAAAAAAATGTGAGAGGATGCCTGCCAAAGTGCTAATGTAGTAAATGTACTGGTAAGAAATTTAGCACAGAATGGAGAAAATCTCTGAAGCAACTTGAATATCATCGGTCATGGTCTCATGGAGTCGTAAGCAAAAAGGAGGCTAAGAAGCAAGTATTAAAAATCATTAAAACTGTGTATAAAAACTCTATCAGAGCCAACATTCAGCTTACAGTTAGCTAAAGCTGTTGATTTGTAAATGTTCATATTTTTTCAGTCAGCTTTCCCCCTGACAACACCAATTATGTATTTGTTCAGACGCTGACCAAAAACCTTGGTAGAAAACGACTCTATGACATGCTGACGGGCTTCCTTGCCCATTTTTCCTGCCAAATTAGGATCTTGAATGAGTTTTCCCATAGCCAAAGAAAACTCCTGTGGATTAGGGTCACAAAGAAATCCCGTGACTTCGTGCTTAATAGTCTCTGTTGGTCCTCCACTGTTACATGCAATGACTGGTTTGTAAGCTGCCATTGCCTCCAAAGGTACAATGCCAAAGTGCTCGTCCTAAAATAATCAAAAAATCAGACTAGATTGTGCACAACTCTGATTTATTTGGCAAGATACAGATACAAACATACCTGTGGAGTATAAAGGACACACAAACATTCAGACAGAAGAGTGTTCCTTTCGCTAGTGGAGCAAGATGTAACGAAAGTGACTCGATCAGTCACCCCTTCCTTTTGTGCTAGAAATTTAAGTTCCTCCAAGTACTCCACATTTTCCCTCAGCCTAGTATCATAGCCACCTGAAATGAAGGAATTTTTATGTACCTCAGTAACATGATTCAAAGACAGAACAGAACAGCAACTGCAACTGCGATAAGTGAGCTTCTGGGATAGAGAATATGAAAGGAAATTTATGAACCTCAGTCACATGATTCAAAGATAGAACAGAATTGCACCTAAAACCAAACAGGAATTAGAAGTAAAAGAAATGAAGTGCGATCCACCATACCATCCCTGAAAAGACAATACTTCTACAGAAAAAAGACTTGAAAAAGGACCCAAACCAAAATAACTTCAAATGTATAAATGATCTATCCACAAAGAAACTACCTCCAGACTACCTATATCATGAGTTATTGCAATGAACCGACCCTTACCACCACCCATTGTCCGGACTTACCGCAGAGGCAGAGGGAGCAGGGCAACAGTAACAACACCAAACCATCACAACAACAACAAATAGCAGAACAATAAAGCTGCTGCAGCAGCTAGCTTGGCTTATTAGCTTGCTCTTGGTACTTTGCGGATGAAGACATACTAGTAGTAAATGTAGTACTTAAGGCTTGTGTTACATAGGCTTGTTTGTAGTAGTATAAATAGAAGAAAGTTAGGAAAGAGAAAGCATTCAGAAGTATTGTATTGGAAAAACCTTGGAGATTAATGGCCTAAAGTCATTACTTTTGTTACTCAAGCCTTTGGGCTAATTATCTTAATCAATTGTCTTCAACCTTTTGGCTAGGATTATCTTGTGTTTTCTGTGTGAACCACACCCTTAGTACGTTGCAGTTATACGGAAGCCAAAACTATAGATTAAATTCTTTAATTTATCCATAAGCATCTATAAAAAAGCTAAATATATACTACGTATATCACTGTCAAGCAAAATAATTAAATACCACAAAGAAGCTACTTAACAAATTTTCATGTAATAATACTCTCCAGCTGATTATTCCCAACTCCCAAGTCAAATTAATTAGCAGATACAGAGATGCAGAGTAAAACAAGAAACACACGTCCTCACCTGAAATTTAATTCTCAAGTATTATCAGGTACATCAGGTAACCTTGGACTTTTAAACAAGCTGTTGATGAGATGAGGGAAGAAGGGTGTAAAATGAATTTCAGGCAAATTCAAAGAATATCTGCATCTCTGAACTTCTTGGAAGTATATTCATTAGTTCGTTACACAAGTGATTGAGAGGAGAAAATTATATTAGCTCCCTGCATTTGTTTTTTCTGATAGAGGCTTGCTTTGCTTTTGTAGCAAGAATTGCCGCTTTTCATACAAGGGATAAAAAAAGGCAACCACTACTTGATAGTGGTTCCTAATCCCCTGGCCACCCAGTATCCTATTTCTGGTGCGGTTCAAGAATTTTAGTCCAAAGTTGATTAAAATAATTCAATTTATGATAAGTCATTGGAACTGAATGACAAGCATGGAAAGAAGTATTCCAATATCATCACAAAAAGCCATCCTCTGAAGTTTTTATTCCAATCAGTGCATTTTAAATAATTACAATAGGAGCCAAGAAAATTAATTCTATCCAATCAAGTCTTAAGAGGAACCAAAAAAAGGATAGAAGATTAAAGGTAGCCTGAAACATTCAAATTTTTAAGAAATTAACATTATGCATCAAGAATTCAAGATACAAGATTCACTGATAAAAATCTCCTACTGATCCATAGTGATCCTAGACAATGATTATGGCACATGACTGACCGGCATTATATACTACCTCTGTTTCATATTATTTGCAACGATTTGACATAAAGTAGAGAGGAAAAATGTCTCATTGTTGCAAATAATATGAAACGGAGGTAGTAATAAAATTAGTAAGAGAGAGAGGGGGGGGGGGAGAGAGGCTTGTAGTTAAGGTTCAATGAAATACCCGCAATGGTCAGAGTTACGTCATTCTCTTCATTTCCCTCAGCTTTGAGAAGACTTGCAAATGCCGAAATTGCCAAATCAATATTCTTCTTTCGTTCAAAGCGATTGATTGACAAAAAATTCATTCTATAAATCAGCAAATCACAAGTTAGATAAAAAAAACTCAGTCCATAATGAGATATATAACTGAGAAAAAAGCCTAGACATAGCTCTTTAAGATATGCCTAGAACTAGAAAATACCAAGCAGGTTCATTACTTAGAAGCATGGGGTTCACCAAATTGAGCGACATTAACAGCAGGGTACAGAACTGAAGGATAAACTCCACCAGCGTTTAGATGCTTAAAAGTATTTGCAAAAGTTGATGCAGTAAACTTACTGTTTACCAGGACTAAATCCGACATTCCTGTAAATCCGAGCATAAAAAAATTATATTCTTAAGAACAATTGAAGGAACTTGAGAATAGCTAAAGAGAGATTGCACAGACATACCAGTTGTCCTTTCTTCTATAAAATCTATAGGCTTTCTGTATATTTTCCTAAGTAAAGTAGTGTGTTTAGCCAGCAAAAGATCCGGAAAATGGCAATAAAAGACAACCTGCAAAGATAACATAGGAAATCGACAAATCAAAAGTAGTGTTACCCCACATAGCATCAAAACAGGACCAGACCAAACCATTTTTATTAAAATATGCAGGAGGGTAGAGTATTTACCTTAATTGACCTTTTGAGCTTCAATAATGGAACCACAATGGAAACTTGATCGGCCAATACAACATCAAATGATGGCCACATGAACAGAACACAAAAGGCGACAAATATGCATCGGAGATATGCACATACAGCATGGAATCGATATAAGATATGCCTTGGTAAGAAATCCCCATAAACAGTGACTGGAAAGATACCTGGTAGATTTTTTGGAATAAAAGACATCAAAACTTATTCACTGCAAGGGTACATAATGGAGAAAAAGCACCAACAATATTCAGCAACAAACTTTGCTTCATGGATGTCACTATTTGTCATGCTTTCTTAAAAACATATCTTGTTATTAGTTTGCATTCTTTGCAACTTTAGTTCACCTAGGAAATAATCAACTAAAACAAGCAATATTACATGTTATAGTGAAAACTAGATAAAATCGAAGGCTAAAGGTCTTCTTTGGGGGAGGGTTAACACTAATTAAAATGTATAAAGTTGGAAACTTATTAGTATACTTCCCATGATCATTGGATCTTGTGCTATACAAATTGGGCAACAAAGAAACTTCAAGATACGCTTTGAAAGGAGCAAATAGAGTAAATTTCAGTGCAGATTAACATGCATGGGTATTCTTACGATTATAATTTTTGGAATATCGCTTAACATCTGAAGGCTATGTGGGATAGGGTAGTGTACCTCGCAATGAAAAAATGGGGTTAACAATTTATCAGTTTCCTGTGATTTCAGGCCGCACATCTTCTGACCCTCAACCAATAAATGTTTAAGAGTTAAACCACTGATAAATCAGGTCCCCGGAAATATCAGTTTGGTTTGATACTTAGATCACATACTCAAATTATCCTATTTCTTTGTTTCTTGCTTAAACTAAATAAAGCAGATTAGTGGAAATATCGAGTAAATAGTACTGCAAATAAGGGGTGGCAGTGGATGAGGGAGGAAATTAACCACTCAAAGTCCCAATTGCCATCGAAAAGTTGTCTAACAAATTTCATGAATAAGGAGACTGCTAGGAATTAGCTCTCAAATCAGTAAGCAAGCAAGCTAATTAGATAGAAAAGGATAGCTAAGAGGGATAAGTTGTATTATCAAACTGATTGTTCAACAATACAATGCCTTCTTTCGAGAGGAAGGTGCTCTCCAACAAGTCAACAACAGACTTCTTAACTATATTCAACATGATGATTATTCCTCCTAATGAGGTCTATTTATAGAAAATACCCCTAACAAACCTCTAGCTTATTCCCCAAGTTACTACTAATAAACTATGACTAATGTGCCATTCCCCTAAATATTGATTCCTTGCAGAGACTTATGAGATCAGAGAGTGATGAACAATTGTCAAAGTGCAGTCTGGCACTAGGGTAAAACCAAATGAAAGGTGTCAATTCTGTCAAAGTATAATTTTGAGATTTGGATAAAAACTAATAAAAAGTGCTGCTATGGATATTTGAATCAGAGAATAGGAATGTGACTATAGAACAACTGACCACTGAGCTACTTTCAAATTTATTTCTGCACATTTTGTCGTTAGTCGGTTGGTTTGAGTACCAGATATCAGCAAAATCAATACCCATACCAAACTAAAAGGTTATCTGCGGTACAATAAGTCTAGAATGTCTCCTTTAACAACAAAATGATACTGCCGCCTTAAAGCAAATCCTTAGAGGACTTAAATAAATTATAAAATTGTTACACAACAGCCAGATATTCAACAAACAAAATCAGAAAAGGAAATTTTGACATCAGGATAACAGTTTATGTGTTGAGTCAAAATAGAGTCGGGAATCATAGCAACAAAAGTCAAATTTGTGTGAATCACTCCATGCTCATATTTAAGGATAGATTATAAGGATATCATCTTTCACCAAATCAAATTCCCATTAAAGAACTTATCTTTGTCCATTCTAAAAAGACCATTATGGATATATTTTCCTCCAAGCCTCTCTAACCAAGCACTCTCAACCCTAAAAACTTGACTAATTAATTCCAAAAAACTCTCACCTCCAAGTCCTTACTAAAGATAATTTTAATAATATTTATAATAATTAAAAAAATATGCAATTTCAACAATAAAGGCATATATTGGCCCCCTCCTTCCTTCCTTCCTTTTAATCACACTAAAGAATAGTTTGCCAATACAGTTCCCATCCTGAGCCAACTTTACTGTCATCTTTCATCACCAATTCTTGCTTCAAATAATTCTCTAAAAAATTTGTCTTAAATTCACCATTCTACTCTATCTTCTTCTACATGAAAAGATCATATGTAGTTTGTTGTCCATAATGGCGAAACATCAAGCTCTGCAATCTCCTAACATACTCTTTCTTCAAATTTCAAACATCTCCAAAAACCCTCTCTATCTCAAACCTTCAACCCCAACTAAACAAATTTACACTTTTTATAAAGAAAATAATACATCCAATTAGCTTAACAATAAAAAGAAAAGTTCCACTCTTCAATGATTTGACGTGATTAATCATATTGCCTTTTTATGTGGGAATTTGGGGATCCAAACAATGTTCAAAGGAAAATGGGTTGGTCTACAGACTAGGAGACTATTTCAATAACTTATCATAGGTTAAAAGGAAGAAGCAAGAAAATAACTCTTAACGTATGGTATTCTCCACTGTACATAACAACAACTTCAATTTCTAAGGGGAGGCTTGGAGGGGCAGGGGGTGGAGAGTAATATATTTGCAGGACTTTTTTTGTTCGAAAATCATGTTTTTGTTTTTTGTTCAAAATCATGTTTTTTGTTCCACTCTTCAATTTCTAAGGGGAGGCTTGGAGGGGCAGGGGGTAATGAAGATCACTAATGGCTTTAATGCTTTCTTGATTGACCAGCCATAATCTGACTGTTCACATGAGGAAATGATCTGAAACACCATCCTTTTGAATATAAGTTTTTAACCTAACAAAAAAACTGACACACATATATCAGCATTAGTAATCCTCTAGAAACTAGTAATAAAAACAATATTGTAGTTATTAACTAATTTATTATAAGACATCTTCAATCACAAAAGAGATGCTCTGAGATATGTTTGAAAAATGGTAGCTGGTATCCTCACCACTGAGAGTCTCTTCAAAACAACGATTCTTGTCATGATGAGATGTGAAAATATGCACATTGTGCCCATGCGATGCTAGTTCCATTGCAGCATCAACAATCAATCTTTCAGCACCACCTACAAAACATAACATGAAAAGTTTTTACTATCCATAGTAATAAAGCATGTCTTAATGACAATGCCAAGAAAAGGAGCCCACAAAAGGATGAAAAGAGATTAAATTATAGCTGAATTTGAGAGGAGAAAACTATCAAGTTTTGCAACTCTAACAGCATCAGTCGTAATACCAAATCAATATCATTCCGATCCATATATTACTTTCTGTGTTATGCTAAATTGTAACACTTGAGTGACACATTCACAAAAGAAAGAGGAGACAGAAGGATACACCCATCTTTAATTATCTGGAAACATCCTTTTTTTTTTTTTGAAGGAATTATCTGGAAACATCCTAAAAAAGGCAAGTGTTGCAATTTTAGGAGAACGCAAGTATGTATTGGGAGCTGTGTGCAACTCATCACCACTCACAAGATCATACGAATCCATAAAGTTAGAATATAACAACACCCCCGAAATTCGGAAGGAAATTGATAAACCAATAATGATTCTAGTCACTAAACGTGTATAAAAATAATAACAATAAAACCTTATTCCCCTTCAAAAATTATTACTTTGCATTTTTGCAATAATACCTCATACAAAGATGATTCACAATGATTCAAAAACACAAGAGCATTCTAACCTTCAAAATTCAATTAAAAAATTTCACTTCACAAGATAAAGCATAGCATTTAGCATACTGAATGAGACAATAACAGTTTCAAAAACCCTTTCAAACACTAGCATGAAAAGAACCAATAACTAAAACTTACATCTGACATCCCAATTTCACATTCATTATCCTTCAAGCTCCAAATTCATGTCATCTTTACAATCTTAATTAAGTACAGCATGAGAAACTCCAGGGTGCACCGCATTCCAGGTACCAAGGTATGATGTGGTAGAAGATGCACACATCATGCAGATGCGCGCACCTATTTGCAAAAAATCTTAAGAGATTATTCAACTTCAATTTTTTGCAAAAATATGCTCTGCTATTTTCAATGAGCAATGGTGGCTATAGGAGGAGCAAGAGAATTTGAGGGGAGAAAAGAGCCAGACAAAAATTAAACGAAAAGAGGAGGTGGTGCACTTCATTGAATTTTCTATACCTAGGTGTGCATGAGACAATGAAGCTTGTGCCTTGCACATAGACAAGCCCTATGCACACTATTCAAAATGAAAGTAAACAAGCTTAGACAAATGTGTACTTGGCACTTGCACCACCAACTGAAGTGTATGTCCGGAAGAGGAAAGGAAAAAGGGGGGGTGGTCCATGAGCAAAGGAGCAGCCAGCAGATTCCAAGAGAGGCAGGGGACAAATAAGCACAACAGGACAATGTTCCACTATGAGAAGAGGCAAAATGAAGTAGCAGATTTGGCATGCAAATGTAGTAGCCCTAATAGGACAAATTCCATTAATGTAAAGGTTACTTGTGATTGCTTGAGTATAGATAGATTAGTAGTATGATAGTAAGGTTATTGTGAGAATTTGAGAGTTGTAGCCACAAGCTGCTATAGTGCTATGAGAGATCAATAGCCTAAAGCTATTACCTTTTGTTTGAACTTTGTCGTTAGAAACTAAAGACTCGAGCTTTCCCCTTAATTGTTCTTCGTATAACATCAATATTACAGTCTTGAATTCCTAGTCTACTACAAGTCACTTAATAGAGGCCAGAAATATATAATACTCTGTATTACAACCAACATTAACTCCTACATCAATATTTTTTTCTTATAGCTATAGTATGCAATTGATAAGAGCTTTTTTTTTAAAAAAAAAAAAAAAAAATCAAACAAACTGCGAACTCTTTCATTCTACCAAAACAAGTTTAAAATTCATTGCGAGAGCACATTCAATCTTTTGTGCTAGCCATTGTATGAACATTGTCATCAGATGATGTCGTTTATGGTATTATACTTACCATAGGCTAGCACAAAAGATTTTTTTTTTGTGTGTCAAAAAAATCTTTTGTGCTAGCCTATGGTAAGTATAATACCATAAACGACATCATCTGATGACAATGTTCATACAATGACTTCAATTGCAGCCATTTGCATCAAAAAAACTTACATTGCAGCCATAAATTAAATTTGCTCAGTGAGGTGATCAATCTAGTGCCTAAGGTTATAGAAGAGAGAGTTAATCTTCAACCAAATATTTAAATTGCAATTCCACATACTCTAAATCAAAGTGGCTTCAATTTTAACATCTAATTCAAAAAAAATACTCACTTTCTAACTCAAATTACACAAAAATCAATCAAAATTTGGCAATTTCTCATGAATTAAACACCCAATAAAACACAATTACAACTTCATTTCATTATAATTTCACTCTCCTTCCAAATCATAAACAAAATCACTAACCTAAAATCTTTCACAAATTAACATGACATAAATAGATCAAAATTAATATCAACAAAAATTGAGGAAAATAATTGAAAAATTACCTATACCAAGATCTGGGTGAATAATTGCTATCTTCAACTTAGAATTATCCTTGTTCGCAGGCTCGTCCCTGGGCTGCCCTAGGCCCGGGGTAAGGAGATTTGATTTCATATTGAATTATCTCGAAAAATACATAATTTCATACGAATCCTAAACTTACTGCACTGACAATTAAATTAAATTAGATCAAATATAAACCCTAGATTGTGAAATTGATATGATGATAACAACAACAAACTTACCTTAGAAGCTGCTTCAATGGGGTATACAAGAATTAGATTCAACGGAGAACGCTTTGCGCTTCAATGAAATAACTCAAAGAGGTAGGAAATACGAATTGAAGCCTTTAAAAGCCATGACCCGCGATAGTTAATATGGGTTAGATTCGCTCATATATAAATGGGGCGGGTTTTATATGATCGTCTAATTACGAGACAGGTGGACTTTAAGATTTTAAGTAAACATGTTTTTAAATTTTTTTAAATAATTTTTATACACCAAACCTTGTATTAATTTTTATAACTTTTTTAGATTATAATATATATATATATATATATATATATATATATATATATATATATATATATATATATATATATATACGGGGAGGTTCCGCTGAAAACAGGGCTTATGGTGAAAACTAAAAACAGAAAATCTCAACCATCCATTGTTACTAACAAGATCTAACGGTTTTAAAAAAAATAAAATAACGTAGAGTCACTATATATAAAAATAACATAACTGTATACAAAAATAGGGTAATTATATCAATTTTTACAACATTTGTCACTATATACAAAAATAGGGTAACTATACCAATTTTGATCCTATTCATAGAAGTCACTATATACAAAAATAGGGTAATTATATCAATTTTGACCACATTTACATAAAAGTCACTATATACAAAATAAGGTAACTATATCAATTTCGACCACATTTACAAAAATGTTACTATATACAAAAATAAGGTAACTATATCAATTTTGATAACCCCATTTGGAGGAGGAATCCAACGCCTTGGCCTGGTACGGGGGGCAGTACCTATATGTTGGGGAGGGTTCTTCAGCTTTTCTCACTCCTCTGTCCACCGTAGCACACGAGCCTTTAAGACAACAACTGGAGTTTCTTTCTCCTAGAAATTTTCACATTTCTATCTTGCCAAATCCTCCATATTAAAATCTAAAAAGAACTTACACTAACATATTTTTGCTAATAGCAGTGGACTTATAGCAATGGAACAGCTACACTACAACAAAATAAGATCAATTTCCTTCCAAAATTGCAAAGTTTCATCATATATCTCAAATCAGTACTACTGTAATACAATTTGGATATAGTGTACACCAATACTAGACAAATATGGGTTGTGACCCCTAAACTGAAGTTGGCGTTTCCTTATCTTGCTCAGTACCCTTGTCCTCATCGCTTTGGCTTCCAGCATAACCATTCCGTGACATCTTGAGCTCAGATGGAAGATTTTTCCTGGCTTTGCGGCTACCCACGATCTTCCATTGATCCCACACCTTTGTTTTTGGAGGTGGGGCAGTATCTCCAATGGGTGCAACCAAACCTGGTGTTGGAAATCTCGCTCAATCGGTGAAGGCGATTCAACCCAATCCCACTCTCCGACGACCAATTACGGAAGTCAATCACAGCTCTTCACCGATCTCATCTTCTTCGTTCACCCCTACCCCCGAACCAAACTTCGGTGATAAACCCACCCTCACAAACACCGATTGTAACCCCCACCATCCTAAATAAAAAAAAATAGCAAAATCGCAAATTAATCAAACAAAAAAAAGCAAAAACCCTAAATTGAACGGGAAATCGAACAAAATTGAACAAAATCGAACAAAATGGAACAGAAAATCGCAAAATCAAACAAAATCGAACAAAATTGATGAAAAAAAGTCGAAAAAATTGATGAGCAAAAGTCGCAAAATCGCACTGGAAATCGAACAAAATTGATGAACAAAACACGCAAAATCGCACAAGAAATCGCACAAAATTGATGAACAATTTTAGAGAGAGAAGTTGCGTGAAGGAGAAAGAAGTGAGGGAGTGTATGTCTAATACACGAATTACTAAATCCCAAAAAAATCAAATCGAAAAATCAATTTGGTATTTCCAAAAACACGTATATAATACCAAATTAAACAAATATCATAAACGAAAACTCACTTTTTTGAAGCTATTGACGAAGATTGAACCAAATTCCTCTATAATTTGATGATGTTTAACATTGATATTGAATTGGGAAGCAGAGAGAATGAAGAAGATGGTGAACGTAAGATGGAGGAGAAAGAAAAATAGAGTAAAAAGTAGAGGAGTGGATGGATTTTCAGAAATCAAGGAACAAATCCCACGGTCAAGAATAACTATCACACGGATATAATCTCCTCCGTCAGATTAGAATTCAATGGTCTAGATTACTTGTTTTTAGTTTTCAGCCTTAGACTTGTTTTCACATGATCCACTCCCTATATATATATATATATATATATATATATATATATATATATATATATATATATATAATTGATGGAATTCTAGTTAAAGAGGTCATAAAGGACCAAAAGTGGTTAGAAGAAGAGTTCACTTATATAGTTCAAAAGGTTAGCAGTTAGACATTGTTGTATTGTATCCAACATCTAAATAATAATTACTCAAGTTACTGTCAACATACATTTGGAAAGTTCAAGCTAATTAAAGAGGTACATAATTTAAGGTAAAGTTTAGAACTAACTGAATTTTATCTCTCTAATTGATATAAAAATTCTAATGTGGTCATTCTTCAAATATGACCATCACTATTCTTAAATTTTATTGGCTAATCTTATCTCTCCTAAAATAGTTGGTCAAACCCTTTTTTAATTTTTCCTTTTTAAAATTCATTTCTTTTTCTGAAAATTAATTTTTCTTTTTTGGAAATTCTATTTTATATTTTCGTAATTATTTTACAAAAATCAAATTTTATTAAATCCCAAAATTAATTTAAACTAAAAAATCAAAAATCAAAAAATATGTTCTTCATTGTTCTTCGTGTTCTTCATTGTTCTTCGTGTTCTTCATTCTTATTCAATGTCCTCCATCTATGGTTGAATTTAACATTTAATTAATGTTATGTGTCCTTTAGTCTCATTTGCGCAACGATTGAAATCAAAGACATGGCCAGATTCAAACACTATACTTGAAATTTATATTTATCCGAATTTCGATAATGAACGCAATTGGGATTGATTTTTAATCCTTGAATAATTAGTTTTTATTGTACAAAATCCTTGAATTGATGCGAAATATCCGATTTGATGCAATTGAATTCAATAGTTTTTACGTTTTTCAAGAATCTGGGGTTCGACATGAAATTCTAAGAAGAAATCGATAACATTTTTTTTTCGAAACCTGTTTGATCCAAAAAATACGCTTATGTTAATCTAAATTTTGTTTGTGTATACGTAAGTAACACAAATACATATTGGTCATTACCTGTATGAAACATCTCTATAATTTATTTGGTTACGATCATACGTGACAATGGACATTACCTAATACTGTTTTTTAATTTATTAATATGTTGTTATAATATTAATTGATAGTGAATATGACTTTGGTCTTCACTAGACAATCTAAACTGTTTTTTTTTTTTTTTTTTTTTTTTTTTTGTGTACCTGTAATTAAAACAAACAACACATTGGACATTACCGATATGAAACATATCTGTAATATATTAGATACGACCATACATAACATTGGACATTACCAGAAACTGCTTTTAAATTCATATATATTTTGTTATATTATTATTTGATAGTGAATATGAATTTGGACTTCAATAGACAAATCACATTTTGTATGTTAACAAGCTAAGGTTTGATGTAAATGGTAACTTATACATCTACTTTAGCGGTTTTAATTCTGTAAGCATATACTTCAACATAAGTAATTAAAACATCCACCTATCTTCAACATAAGTAATTAAAATATTAACCTGTAGAAAATTCAATTCCATGGGCATAATCATTTTAGAACTATAAATAAGTATTTAGTCATTACATTTACAAATTTTCCACATTTGATTTATACATAATGCTGACTATATGTTGTTTAAGACCCAAAGCCTAAGTACTAAATTGTTATTCACATAGACCTTAGCTGTAGAAAAATAGTTTTTATACACACGGGTAATGACTCAAATTGAGTTAGGTTAAAACTTATTACATGTACATCAATAGACAATAAGTGGCGGTATCATTTTCAATTAATTTATGCGTTGAATTTTTCAAATTACTTTCAAAATTTTCAATTTGACCGCCCTTTATTTTCGGAGGTTAGTTTTTAAAAGCTCAATTATATCCTTGACCAACTCTCAACCTTGTACTTAACACAAAAAAACACACACACACACACACACAAAATGGGGGATTCACAAAAGTCCATTTCTCGAGATTCATCTTCTAGTTTTGGAGGGGTCATGGTGAAATGTGGATGTGGCGTTCCCTCGAAGATTCGAACTGTATAAGCCTAACCATAATAAGGGAAGGAAATTTCGAGGTTGTGGAAAATATCCGGTACTTTTTTCTTAACCCATTTGTAATTTCATTACAATTTTAATGGATATGACATATGAGTAAATATAATAATATTTCATTAGGGTTCCAAGTAACATTTAGGGTTTATTTAATTTTTATAAATTGCAGGAGGCTGATTGTAGATTTTTCAAATGGTTGTATGATGGTGTCGGTGGATGCGTCGACTGTGAGATGATGTCAAAGAGATTGGATGCAACCGAGAAAGAAGTTGAATCTCTAACTATGAAGCTCACCAAATTGAAGCTTAAAAAGTCACAGTTTCAGGAACAAATATCCGACTTGAAAAGCCAAATATGTCAATCAAACATGGAGAAGAACAAATATATTGCATACACATCTATGAGTTTGTATGCACTGGTTATTTCATGGGCAATGTTTGTGGTTAATTATTAGAATATAATTGAATAAAATGCAATGCAGAATCACTTGTTTTGGATTTGTTTAATTCAAAAATATTATATCTTTTGTTTATTTTTATATATTTAAGTTACAATTTTTTAAAAAATTATCATTACATACATCAATTCAAATTCAAATTTGATAATTACAAACTTTTTTGAATTCAAAAGCATGTTTTATCATTTAATAGGAATTTTAAAAAATTCATAGTTTTATCAGTACTTGTATTATTACTAGCCTAACATAGTTTTAGATATAAATGGAATATTTTCATATCCTAACTAAGTTCACATAAAATGGGGAAATCAATTGATATGTTTCCAATTTTAACACACGTTAATTAACTTTATTTGGTAACTAACC